TCATGTTATATTCAATTGCCCACCATTATTTCCATCCAGAAGCCCTTTATTCAGAATGGAAAGCCCTCTCCATTCAAAAGCCTCAAGGTTTTAAGAAATGGAATAGAAAATTGTGGAGTGGTGGTCTGAGTGTCGAACTGTGGCTCTGGAGACCAGGGTTCGATTCCCAGCTCGACCATGGAAACCCACTGGGTGACCTTGGACATGTCACACTCTCTCAGCCTCAGGGAAAGGCCATGGCAAATCTCCTCTGAACAAATCTGGCCAAGAAAACCCCAGGATGGGGGTTGCCATGATTTGGAAATGACTTCAAGGCACACTTCAAGGCACACAACAACACGCGACTCTGGAGCTGTCTGACAGACCGGGATGAATACCGCCCCAAACTACAGATCCCAGGAATCTGTAGGATAGAGTCATGGCAATTAAAGTGGTGTCAAGCAGTGTGGCTACACCCTTAGTTACCATGGCTTCCCTACAGAATAGTCTGGAAAGAAGCTATTCTTTGTTATTTTGCAGTTGTAATGTGGCTGAATTTGATTGATTTGTTTTATCCATTAATTAAAGTATTAATATTCCAGGGCCCTTGGTGCATGCAATTTAATTTAGAAGCTGTACTCAAGTCCTGATTTGGGGGAAATGAAAAGGTATAAAGTTGTTATGATCTCTTTGTTTCACAGTTACCGACTGGAGTTTTAGACCACCTATGATTCAGATGTTAGGAAACCGCATCGGATAATGTGATCTGTTCCAAGGAGTGGCACTTTGTGCAATTCTTCTAGTGTGGTCCCTTCTGATTTTATTCTGACTTTTTAATTTATTTTTTAAATATACAAATAAAATGCAAAATAATACATTTACGATCGTACATATACAATAATAATCTTGCATTTCATCTCTTTCTTCTTCTTCAGTATGCTTCTTGTATATTCTTCTTTCCACTTTTTACTTCCTAACCTTTGATCCTTCCATGGCCATCTTTCCTAGTCTCAATTAATCTCATATCAGATGCAATGTTTGGGTAGATCTTGATTGACAAATAATTCAAATACAAATAAATATCTATTTAATTCAAGAAGATAACTACATCTAAAAGTAGACATAATAATCCCAAACATATTTATTTAAGTTTGCTTCTTGTCCTCTTTATTCTTGGTTAACTCCTATCTAATTCTTAATTGACATTCTCATATGTTCCCACTTTCTGATTATATCATTGTATAATCTACTACATTATCTTTATCACTATACATAATGTCAATATTCATACAAATATTGCATGATAGGTTGCCACTCTCTTTCTACCATATCTCGTCATTTGTCATTTATTAGATTTGTTAGACGATCCATTTCCATCATCTCTTGGATTTTTGCAAACCAGCCTTCACTATGTGGACATTCTTTACCTCTCCACTATTCTTGCTGCATAACATAATATAACATAATCCTCCAAAATTTATCCTCATCCTCTTTTTTAAACGTAGTTGTCATGTTCAATAGATATAACTCTGGAGACTGGTTTTATTCAGACTTCTTGTCCGTCTATTCAGATTTTCCCCAGAGTATCTTTCACTGCTAGAACCACTGTTGTTTTGAGGCTCTGAATCTCTGTCTAAAGATCTTGATATTTCATAATCTTTCCCCCCAGGAATGCCACATCTCTAAATAAAGATTTCTTTTTCTTAACCATAGTTAAGCCTTTAATATTATATCCTAATTGTTAGTCAACATAAATCTTTGTTTCCCATAGGATTTTTATATCACCATTTTGCACAACCTTTTCAGATTTATGTTACTACCCATTCTTTGTGGATGCTAAGTCTTATCTATCTATCTATCTATCTATCTATCTATCTATCTATCTCTATCTATCTATCTATTGATTTATTGATCTATCTATCTGTTCTGCATATCATCCAATGTATTATTGCAGGTACTTTATCATGACATTTCTTATATTCAGCATGCGTGATCTTGCTGCATGAACTGATAAGCTGGCCAGCAGTTTCATCTTTTTCCTTACATGGTTGACATTTACAGAAACCTGTTATTGTTATTGTTGTAATACAATGGACCAAAATACATTAAAATATTATTTAAAAAAACAAACCCAAAATAATTTTAAAAACCAGTTTTGGAGCATGCAAAGAATTAAAAGAGTACCCAAGGCCAAGTCTGGTTTCCAGAACCAAATACTCTTCAAAACAGTGCAGTTGGAGTTTGCTCACAGTGAAGAGGGATAATTTATGAAAGTCCCATATCTGAGGTGCTGCTGCAGAGAATTATGCCTGAAGTTATGGCAAAAAAAGAGGGAATTAATTGCAAGTGATTAAGTGACTGAATTAATTGCAAGTTTGTAACCAAGTATTTCTAAGCCCTGCTGCAAATGTTGACTTTCCTCCAGATTTATAGAGCCTGTAGAGAACTCAGAGCATACATACCGTACCTTCTGTTTCCCTTAGAAAAGTGACTTCTGCCAAATTTATTTTGAGAAAAAAAATAATCAAGTTCAGCCTGCAAACAGTTTCAGCCCCAGTTATGCCTGGCATACTATATTCGAATTGTCAGTAAGTTTGAGTCTCTGTGTTACCACTTTTTACAACTTTTTGTCCATCCCAAGTAGTGGTGGGTCACAATTAGGGTTGCCAGACGTCAAGGCTTGCCTCTGAGTCTCCAGTTTTCATGGATCATCTCCAAGCAGGAGTTCAGGGTGCAAATCCCCCAGTTTGGATGGGCTCAGCTCCATGCAGAAAGAAGGACTGAGAGCGTCCACTTGGGATAATCTTGCAAGGCTTAATGGATTTGCTGCTGCACATTGCAATAATAATAATAATAATAATAATAATAATAATAATAATAATAATTGCAACATGTCTCCCCCAAACATGGGTCTTTGGATTTATTTAGTTAGCTTCCTCCTTATTTCCTAGTGGTTGTAGGAGTGTGTCACACAAGCCTTGTTCTCACCAGGGTTGTACTAGAAAGGAGAACTGGATACATACCGGTTTTGTACCATTCCCTCTCACATGTCTTTGCAATAGTGCAAATGAGGCCTCACACTCTTTTTCTCACTCTTCCATACATCTCCCTAATCCTGCCTTCCTGCCCTATGCCATGCCCATGCTGTGGAATTCTGGGATATTTAGCCTTCTTTGGTGCCCCAACAAGCTACAAACCCCAGAAACAGATGATGTTTCTGTCCATAGCATTGAGCCGTGACAATTAAAGCTGTGTCAAACTGCATTATTTCTGCAGCGCAGATGCAGATCTAGTGAGATTTGATGCTTATTTTTCTCTAGGGAGTTCACAATCATATATTGTTGCCTCCCTTTCCTGAGTAGGACAGATAAGCTCAGTGGGAACAGAGACATCTAAGAAAAGAAAGCAACAGATGATGTTTCTGTCTAAAGACCGGGCATTTTGATCCTGAAAACCTTGGCTGATCAGACTACAGGCCTTCTACAGTACTCCTTGTTCTGTCTCTTGTTCTCTTGTTCGTAAGCCCAAGGACAAAATTTCTCTTATACATGTTTCTATGTTATTAAAACAAAATTCTATAGGATACAGTGGTACAACTGGAAGCTAGATATCTCATATATTATCCTGTGGCCAGCTGGAAATTACATACTAGGGATTTTAAGAGCTCCTGAACAGTCTGGAAACCATAAAGCCCTATGAGGAACGACTTGGGACCTTATCACACGGGGCCCA